TATATATATATATATATATATATAAATGTATGTGTGTGTGTGTGTGTATATATATATATATATACCAAGTCCTTCAACCTTAAATAATTTCATGTTTCTGCCCCTTTTTCCAGAGCTTGTGACTAAGCTAAGTGATTATATCAATTAACAAAACCAATACTTTCAGAACGAACCTATATTGGCTTATTTTTGCAACTTATCAAGTAACTATTCATTCAGTCAGAGGCATTCAAATCCATATGTTACAAAAATGCCAATAATTTCTGTTAAATCGAAGTGTCATCTTAGATAGAACGTTTATAAAATCAGGCACCATTCCTTGCAGTCTAGGAGCGGCAATCAAACAGATGATATGTTGAAATAGCACCCAGCATAAATCCTTCCATGAAGTTGAAGGCTAGGAGAGAAGTCTTGTACTGGAGTGCTTCATGAAGTCAATGAGCACATCACAAAGCATTTAGCAATGTTTCCAACATTCCATTCATGGTTATAAGTACAATGTACATGTAACATACTTTCCAGGTTGCAACTGTTCGTAGTGTTGAAAATAAGGCAGCGTACTGTGAACTGATGGTGACTGCTTCTCACCAAAAGTGGCCCTTGGAAAAGCACTATCAGCAGAGTTCCTGTTCATATTCAACTCCACTTGAAAAACGAATGAAACATTGATGTGATGAGTTTCTGAAAGAGTCTTTGCTAAAACAAAGTGTAAAGACTGATCAAACATGAGTGCATTATCGTCTGCAGAGACAAAGGAAAAATTAACTCCAGGATTGTTTTCGGATTATCAGTTAAACATTTGAGCTGCTGTCAAAATGTGATTCTCCATAGTTGCATGAAGTTAACGTAAACAACCTAAAATGTTTGACATCTTGAAACGTTATTGGAATACCTCCGAAAAACATTTGAATTAAGCTAGGTTTCTCGAACTATAAGACTTTATTGTTCCAAGATCTGAGTGACGTTTCACAGTTTCTTACCTTACACAAGTATAATTTGCAGTGGATTACTGTCAAAAAATAAATAAACACTTCTAAAAGATAGAGTAAGATAGTGGCATACCATGAGGGGGTTCCCTGGTTGCCAAGAAACTCTACCCCTGAACCCGTGTTGTATTTATTTGTTGTGTTAGTATAAATCTTAAATTTTTACCACATTTCAAATTTATTTATAATGATCCTAGTAATAAACCCAGTACAAATAGAGACTGAGTGTAATTTCTAAATATCGCTAATTTTTGAACAACTAAACTATAGCATATTTTCTTCTTTCTACCAACATAATTTTTATGGTGGTTTTAAAGCTCAGAAATGCACCCCTGAAGATTCAATAAATCCACAAACCTCCCCCTCCCTGATTTCCTTTATGTGTGCCTTGAGTGCATGTTGTGCGCTCTTTTTTTTGTCTGCTTTGGAGCTTCCCCCCTGACAAGATCCTGACTACCTTCTGTACGATATTGGGAAATTTCTATTATTTGCTACTTAAGAACAATTGTTCGAGTGCTACACTATTACACAATAAATACAATAAAGAAGGGGAGTAGCCATTACTATAACATATGTCAAAAAAGTGGACCTTTCTTCTACACAGAATTTATGTGATTTACGTGAAAATCAAGTTTATCTAAATAAATAATAATAATAAAATAAAGAAGATATTGGACATTTTATATTTTCATAGCATTCAGGTTGTTTTTCGATCCCCATCCTGATATCCCTTCAATTAAACTGATAGTTATGTAAGTGGATACGTTTTTGTCAGATATAAAACTGTTTAGTGTAGGTATTATTAATTCATTTATTTTGTGAGTTAATATTTCATGATTGTTTAGTTGTTGTTTTTTAATAAGAGAGTTAAAAGCATACCATTGTTGGATGTTTTGTTTGTAAGTTATTGATGTCGAGGCTAGGGAGATTTCTAGAACGCCTCAGTGAGAGATATGAAATAGCGGCGACCAAACGAGAGATCAGAGTACTAGAACAGAACCAAAAGTAAAGTTGAGTGAGAGTTTGGTCAGAGAAAGGTTAGAAAACGTGAAGTTAACCTTCGTAGGAGTGAATAGCCTAACGGTTGATATGTTAAAGTGAGATTAACAGTTTTCTGACATTTTAGGAGAATAATTTGTCTCGTCAAAGGGTGTTCGAAAGCAATTGAACCTGTTTGTGTGGATTTTGACAAAAAGCAGACGATTATTTGGAAGTAGGCCTATATGCGAAAAAGCAGACGAGTATCAGAAGTTCAGGATACAACTGCGGTAACTCAACGACAACGTAAGTGAATTATACACTGATACTGTTGTTATATAAGAAGAAATAGAGAGAGAAGAAAAGGAATGAGCGAATTATACACTGATAGTGTTTAAGATAATAATAAAGATAGTTCGGCTTGTCAACTGAATTCTAAAGCAATTGAATTGGTCTATGTAGACTTTTGACAACAAGAAAACTGTATAGTATTTAAGATACAACAAAACATTTTTTGTACATACATTTAACTTGTTTTGAATATATTATTTTAAAACAAGCGGAGTGAGTGCTGTTCACTAATCATCGAATTTATCGCCAACAAGTCCCAGACACCTACTGTAGAAAAATCCCTAGCCCAACACAACCTATATATATATATATATATATATATTACTAATAGTCAAAAAGTAAGTAGCCTGACAGTCTTAAATATTCATCATATAGCCATATGTTGTGTTCCAAGTACTGGCGCATTTCAGTTAAATGCTACAGAACACAATAAATTATTTTATGAATGTCAAGGTATAATTATAAGTTAATTACATTTATATTTGCATATATTTTTTACTTTCTTGCAGTCGCCAAGTAATCATCATTAGCCATAAGTAAATTAAATTACATAATTATTTTAATATGCATTTTGTATTATGTTACACTGAGTAACTATACAAACTTTTATTTCTGTATCTTTAGTTCTGTAATTGATGTTTTGTCTTATAAAATATAAGATTGGTATTTAAATATAGGAATAAAACTAAAGTAGCTTTTATCATTGTTACGACAGCGGGGGGTCACATGACCCTAGTAACGGTCATATTCTCGAACGTTCACGTCCCATACTCACAAGGGTTTGCTGAGATCATATCTATGAAATATATTACAGAACTGTTAGCAAGTGGTGTATACATAACTAACTACATTTGACCTGAATAATGGTTAACGAAAACATTGGTCTGTGAAGCGTTTTGTGGGTTGTAACGTCTTGGTTTTTGTTGTTGTTATTTTTTTACATGTTTTCAGGATTATGGTCCAGAAAGTCTTAAGAGTCATTAATTTATGACGTAAATCTACAATAATAATAGGATAATGATGTCAGTTCGTATTCAAAGCTACAAACTTTCAACCTACTCAAGGCTAATGTAAGAAAGAAGCTAAGCAATGAATTCATGCACTGTTAACGATATATCAACAACTTTTCTAACGTTCAAATTTTATACAGTAACATTATGTATTACTTTTTACATTTCCTGGTGAGACAGGCGTGTGGTAATGGCTAGGGGTGCTTGGTTGTGAATCCTAGGGTCAGTGGTTCACGTCTCGTTACCAAAAAAAATTACACTAGTTGATGGGTTATAACAGTGTCTGTCAAATACAACTATTTAATCATATAAGTGGCTATGGATATCGTTGACATCGCTGTATTATTTCTATTCTCTCTGTTTAAAAATGTGGACAGCTTGCGCAGATAACTATTGTGTACATTTAAACAAATCTCGAAATAAACAAACAGTTCCTATTTCTACAAAAAATATTAAAAATGGCAACAGACATATTCTGAAAATCTGATTTCACTGAACTTAAGAAAACAAACCGTATACGATGTTAAACAAAATCAGTCTTTATTCAATATAAGTCAAAAGGCGAGGGTACATAAGGTCACGCATCGATTCTAGACAACAGTCTTTCTAAAGTGGTTTAACAAGTATTCACAGCTTTTAAGTTGTAAGGCATGGTTGTTCACGTATTTACGGGTTTTAGGTGGTGTGTTTTTACAGGTATTTACAACGTCTACGGGGGTTGTAAAGTTTGGTCACGTAGTTCGTTAGATTGATTACCTTATTTTTCAAACGTTTTGGTCTATGAATTATATCGATTACTTTTTTGTTTTAAATTTTAAAAAAGAGAGACAATTATCATCAAATAAAATATAGAAATCAAATCTCGTAAAACTGTTCACATAATCCACACAAAATAGTTAACTGAAAAAAATCGTTCACTGGTTAACAATTCTCAGTATGTGGCGCAGTTGACCCTCCGTGACATCGCTCAAGTTGTTTTGCATAGAGACCAGTTGGCTGGATACACCTTAAATAGCCACCGCTTATCTCATTGTTTCAACAACTTAGATCTCTCGGTGTGGCACCGGTAAGTTTACGGACATGCAACACTAAATTCAGGATTCGATTCCCTGCGGTGGCCACAGCAAATAGGTCAATGTGGCTTTGCTTTGAAACGAACGCTAAACCAAGCCTCTGAATCGGTTGTGCGCGATCTGGGAGGATCAGGTTCAATTCAGACATCTTCCTTCCTTCCTTTACTGTGTGTATTAACTGTCAAATGTCACAGTCATATATAAAATCAAGGATTGAAACTTTAATTAGTGAAGATGCACGAGGTTAAACACTTATTCTTGTTCACTCTTTTGGGTCAAAACGAACGCTAAACAATACCAAAATGTAGTTTTGATACGCCCGTTCCACCGCACAACGACTTTATATTGGCGTATTCAAAATTACCATAATATAGCATTCCCAACCTTTTGTATTACGGCATTGGCTTTTGTTTTTGATGTAGATGTAATGTCATTTTTTTTCGTTCATTTATGACATTTGGACATGTAAATATAAGCTAGTTGCTAGAGCAAATCTTTTTTTTTTATTTCATTGAATGTCAGTTAATATCTTTCTGTTATGTATCATTTTGTTAATACAGTGAGGTTATATCTCAGAACAGAATAACAAAGAGTAAAATGTAGCGTTGCATCTTTCAAAGCAAACTCATAAAAGCCACCCAAAGTTTATGAAATGAAAGCGCATGCGTGAATTTTCAATAGCACTACGTACCCGGCTGTGTTTAACACGACTTAATCGATTGTTAGAATAACTTAAGAAACGAATTTCTCATCGCCTTTATAAAAGTTTTGGATTGTTGACTCCCACTTTATTATACCAACCATGATTTCGTACAAAATATCATCTATACCATATGCTCATATTTTTCGGTTAACAGTTCTGTTAGGTTGTTTTACAGGGTTTATTTTTCAGGCTGTCGAGTATGTTTCTCTCTATTATGAATATCGAAATTTGTTTACGGAAACCATGGTATATTGACACAATAAATGCAATATAACAGCTGAGACAAATTTATTAAACTGAAACGAAGTTAAAAGGTCAGGTGATTGTAAACAAGTTAAATTTAACCAACGTATATTAACTCTCTTTCAACCAGAAAGTAATAATTACAGCAGTTACTGTAGCTAATGTTTCATTGTACTTTATCTCAATACTTACAGTTCATTAGGGCAGAATGTAACAGATGGTAAGGATATCTTATCAATAGGTTCGAACTTGATCTCCACTGAAGCCTAAATGTTCTAATCTGAAGGACAATCACAGATTAGAGAGCTATAAACTCGCCAGGAAATATGCATTTGTATATTTTCATATATATATTCCAAATAATCCCAGTTACCAATGTGGCTGTTTTTCAAGTACATTTAATAAATCTAACGGTTTTATGTTTTCATATTTATCTCTGAAGTAGATTTTTAGAGTTACTATCATTGAGGAGCAAACTGCTACAACTCAAGCTTTAAAACGAGGATAGACATGTTTCTCTATCATATAGTTTTTGCTCCTCATTCTTAACTATCCATTGCTAAACATAAAATACAACTTACACACCTTTCTCACACTGATTAATAATCCATGTTTGACTCTGATGATGAATTTTAGTTCATTTATTTGTTTTCATAAATAAACATATAATTTAATTTACGATAAGAGCAAAATGAAGTAGCATATTCCATATTGTTACACTTTTTAACGACCACTGTGAAAGGTGTACATAAACTGAATGTAAAGAATGTGTTAGTTGGTTAGTATTGAAGTTATGTGTTAATTTTACCTTAGAAATCCTTAAAAGAAGC